AATAAATATATAACATATCGCATATATACATACGTTGCGGGTACTACTCAAAAAACGGTGGGAAGTTCAAGCCCTAATAGGTGCATTACACAGTATCTACGACTGAGCGGTAAAGTGTACTTTGTGGATAGGCTTTTGGAGCGTTAAATCTCACTTTCTAGCCCACAGACTCAACGGGCAGGCATTGCGTCATATTCGTTGTTAGGGCGTGTATCAAGTTCCGCTGACACGACCGTTTAATTTTTCTTCATATTTTTAATTTTCAAATCTTAACATCACTTTTGGCCTGTTGATCACGCTAGCTTTTTGATGTTATTCCAGGATGTGAAACAACAAAGTTTTAATAAGTATTAAGTAACTTTTTTTTTAAGTCCGTTTGTAGTGTGTGGTGCAAACTAAATCTATGAGTACATTTTTTTTAATGATAATATAATGGCTATTGAAGAAAACATACATTTAATAGCAAAATAAAAAAAACATATTCCGCAATTCACATATACAACATTACAACATCTAGGATGGGGCATGACATCTTTGGTGGCACTTAGCGACCTTAATTTGTCGGAGTCGGAACTTACCGATTACCGTCGGTAGACCAAACACCATTTTCAGTTGTAGTATCTATAACTTTTCTGCAGGGCATGAAACATGTCATATTTCGTCGTATTTGATCAATTTTTGTTTAAATCCCATTCTAGTACTAAACCATTTGATACAACACGTTGCTTTTAACTGAGAAGACAATTAGTGAACCTACATAGAAAAGAAGTACAGCAATCTTTAACATGAAAAAGTAAACAAAAACAAGTAGACTATGGAGTTAAAAATATAATAGACGTCCTATGATAATTATCGGATATTTAAGATGTGACTTTTATTTAGTGTCGTTCGTCATATCTTGGCATTGTATGTTTGTTTACTATTGTTATTAAGGCTGGTAAATTGATAGATGTCTATATCTATAGATTTGCAAATTCTGGTAAAACGATTTCCAGTTCACAGTAAATAATGGGTATGTTTGAGTATTATTTACCAGTGCCTATCGAGCAGTATTAATACCTATTGAGGTGGAAATGGGCTAATTGCTCTGTCTTTCAAGCAAATAAAAATATACCCTGTCAGGAAAGATTTGTTTATTTGTGTATTGCCTATATGTTTTCTCACATACTATACTTATAACCTTTAATTTTGGGATACAACGGTACGAATACTTGCCAATGGTTTCTAGTTGCACTTTTATTCAAAAGTTATATAAAAAGGCACTAATGGTTATTAAATTTATGCATTTATGGCGGTAAGGTATGAAAATTAGAAATATGAAGAGAAATTGAACGGTCATGGTCAGTGGAACTTGCGGCACGCGCTAACAACGAATATGATGCAATGTCTGAACGTGGAGTCCATGGGATGAAAACTAAGATTTTACATCCAAAAAGTCTATTTATCGCCCGCTCGTAGATAATCGATGTTCATCGTGTACTAAGCATACCCTTATGTATCTATTAGGGCTTGAACTTACCATCGTTGTGAAATATAACCTTATCTTTTCAATAGTACACGCTACGTATATATGCGATATGTTATATATTTGTTATTTATGCCCTTGAAATCTGCAACAACCGTTGCTCTAAATCTAAACTGAACTGAAACGACTACACATACGAAACTAGTTCGCAAATTCTGCCATTTCAGTACATTGTACTTTTAGCCCATTAAGTTATGCTCCAGTTTTGGTTCCTTTTTGTTATGCTCCGCTTTTTAAACCACAAGTTGAAACCACACAACCTCAATACTTCAATAGTTTGTATATATTTACTTATAGCATAATAAATCTGCTACAATAATATGTACTGAAGTAATTCTGTTGATCGCCTAGGCTAATTCAATTCTAATCCAAGCTGAGGATATGAAAATGTATACCTATCAGTTCATATTACAGTACTTTCCGTGAGCTCATCGCGTCTAGGCTAAGGAATGACGGCTGTGGTTGCACTCGTTAGTCGGCCAGTTCTGACGAGTTCAAGAACACCACTCCAGGAACAAGATGGTTCCAACGCCCCATACACTAGTACCTAAAAAATTATATTAATAGGCTCTAGTAATCATATTTCTGAATAATTTTATATATTGGCCGTCGTTCCATGAATTTGTTTAAACTGGCTTTACGCTGATGAAAGCTAATTACTACTATTTCTAAATAATATTCATGATTATAGGACTCCAATTTTGGACCGAATCAAAACCACATATATGCTTGGACTTTTTTTTTTAGTTTTGATCATTTACCACATGTGCTGTATAATTTATTCATTCTAAGAATGTGTTAAATAATCTTGTATTCTACAATTCTCCAAAATCATTATGTAATATTTAATAAGCATCTATCAGTAACCACATAATCTTACATCAAGCATTTGTTTACAACGCCTACTTAAAAAAATTAAAAATGACAGCATTTTTCCTTATAACCAAGAACATCAATGTAACATGTGATACATCGTTGAAGTGGTAGAAAAAGATGCAGGATGTACTTTTTTCGGGTCATACAAAAAAATAAATTAGATGATAGTTTCTCAGAAACGAATCGTGGGTACGAAATTTAAAAACACCATCTTAGTTTTCCTCAAATATCTCAGCAAACCATGAAAATTTTACAAGCTTTTCAGCGGCATGTAAGTACCCCTCAAAAATCCAGCTTTCACTAGTTACTACTTTCTAATTTAACCTAAGGTGTATCTCCCACAAGTATTGAGATTACCACGCAGAGGATCCTTATTTTAGACACCTTGTACCTACATATTGCAAAAATATGAGCCTGCTGCTACGAGGACAGTGCGTGAGCAATTAAAAATTTAGAACTACTTCATCTATAAAGGTTGACCCTTACGATATATACTAAGTGACATATAAATCCGAACACCCAGTTTAAATCGTTTTATTTTAATAAAAGTTGGTGAATGTATTTATCTTACTGTAAGTAACAAGTGAAAAAATTTTCAGCCTTATCAGTTGGACATTCCGGTCTTTATACTGCTTTTTTTTAATTCACTAACGCTCTAAAAATGAATATTTCAGCTGCAGTAAAGAATCAAAGGTGGCGGATTTTGGTTCTTGACATCCTTTACGATCGGTTACGATGCCTAGAGTACGGAGACCTGTACGATTTCGTCAACTTAGTGAGTTTGATAGGGGCCGTATAGTGGGACTTCGGGAAGCTGGACTTTCTTTTCGGGCAATTGCCGTTAGAGTGCAAAGAAGTGTAGACACTGTGGTTAGGTGTTGTCAGGCATGGCTTCGAGAAGGCCGTACGCAAAGAGCAAGGGACACTGGACGCCGCCGTAGAACAACAGACCGTGAAGATCGCCGCCTAAGATTATTGGCCTCAAGGGACCGTTTCTCCACTACCAGGTCCATTGCAAATGAATGGTTTGCAGAACACGGAAGACCTATTGGCATGCGAAGTGTTTACCGACGAATGAGAAGTTTTGGCTTGTTTTCATACCGGCCACACTGGGTCCTCCCTTTAACTCGAGAACACCGACGTAATCGCCTTGAGCGGTGCAGACAACGGTCACTCTGGGATCAGGAATGGAACAGTATTGTCTTTAGTGACGAGTCTCGATTTTGTTTAGGCATGCACGATGGTCGTGCCAGGGTTAGAAGGCGACGTGGCGAAAGGAGGAATCCACAGTTTTCTTGTTGAGAGACATGTTCATCACACTGTTGGAGTTATGGTTTGGGTTGCTATAGCTTATGGTTCCAGGTCACCTTTAATCTTCATCAGAGGTAACATGAACGCGCAGCGTTATATCCACGCAGTTCTAGAACCCCATCTTTTACCCTATCTTGACACCCTAGCAGATCCAACTTTCCAACAAGATAATGCCCGACCACATGTTGCAAGAGTCACAATAGACTTCTTTCAACATAATGATGTCACATTGTTGTTACCATGGCCACCAAGATCTCCCGACTTATCCCCAATTGAGCACGTGTGGGATATGATGGGTAGGAGATTGCTCAATTTGCAACGTCCTCCTCAGACTCTAGAAGCACTTCGAGAGGAGTTGGTGGTTGCCTGGAATGAGATACCACAGGAGGACATTGACCACCTGTTCAGAAGCATGCCTAAACGCGTTGGAGAATGCGTAGCACATCAGGGTGCATCCACACATTATTAAAAGTCAAAGTGCTTTAAAGCAGTGCAATCATTTTGAAATTTTTATCATTTACTTATTATGCTTCATTAAGTACTTATACAAAATTTTATTAAAATAAAACCATTTAAACTGGTTGTTCGGATTTATATGTCACTTAGTATAATTTAACGATCAAATGAACTTACCTTAAGAAAGTTTGGTCGAAATTATATGAGCCATCCAGTCCAAAGATGTTTATCATTTCACCACGTAGTCCGCTCTGTCGTTATACCAGCCACAAGGCTTTAAAGCAAAATCCCCCTCTCATGTTACGTTTGTGTCCCTATACATACTGATATACCTCCCTCCTACTATCATTTAGTTGAAATTATTCCGTTTTGCTCATAACCCGTCAGGGTAGAGCCTGGGAAGGAGCTTACATCTTTGGACTGGACGCCTCATATAAGTTCGACCGAACTTCTTTAAAGTAAGTTCATTTGATCGTTAAGTTATACTTCGACGTCTAGTCCAAAGGTGTTTATTATTTCATCACGTAGACGTTTAAAGATGTGTGGGTGATAACACAAACGGAAAGAGATGCTTTTCAGTTCCTGCGACAAAGTATTTATTCTCATAGATGAGATAGATAATGATAGTATACAGAAAAATTCAATAAAACTGTAAGCTATACAGGATATAACATAACAGGAAATAAATGATTATTTCTATACATTCAAAGAATGCGGCTTGAACTTATAGTGTCGATACCTGCCTTGCTAAAAGTCTTTCTGACCCAGCGACTCAAAGTGTGCTTGCAGGCAGTTCATTCGCTAAGGTTTTTGTGTTGTGACGAACAAATACCCGTCGTTTGGGTTCCTTAATGCAGCAATTTCTGTAACGTAGCATATCAGACACTTCGCAACGCATAACTGAGGCTTGTAATTGAATCTTGGAAGTATCAAGCAAGGTTGTTTCTGTTCTAGGTCTCCATGTTTTGATCCTGTCATCTATAAGGATTTGAACACCGTCTTCAGTATCGCGTATGTTGCTAATTTTAATTTTAGGTATAGTCTGCAACCTCTGTCCCGCTGCTAACAGTAATAAGGTTACTAGTTTCATTGCACGCAGTTTCAGGGATGTTTTCTGATAAGCTTCCAAGAAGTCCAAGACTCGCTTGGGGTCCCAGATCAAATTATATCTTGGCTGTTGTTGGCTTATCCGATATATGCCCTTCATGTATCGTTTCAAGATGGGATGATCCCATGAGCTGCCTGTCAAGATCATTGATAGCGCAGATCTGTGACAGTTGAACGATCCAAGAAGACATTCATTCTTATCAAGAATGAGTTACAAAAAGGTGATCGCCTCACTGACCTGGGCATTGGCAAAATATCCTGAACTTTTCAAAACTCTCACCAAAGCTTATAAGTGAGTGCGCATTGTTTTATGTTAGCTCTGGACAAGGATTGCAGTGTAGTTTCAACTGCTCACTCATTAACACCATTTTACCCACCAGCCATGCGTTGTGTCCCCGTTACAACAGGCATCCTAATCCGAATGGGATGAGTCTTTGAATATTTCCAGTCGAAATGAATACTGCTTAATGTTGTTGTTTGCTGAATCTATATGATTCAGCCACCCTAATGGATCGGCTTGTGATTGTGACAAAAACGACATATTCGCATTGTAATCGACGCTGTGTTTTCCAGGAGCAATAATTAGTTTATCGGATTCTAAATAACTTTTTACCTTAAAAGAATGTTCATCCACCTCAAGATTTTATTATTTTCGCAGCTTCGAACTTCATTGTATAAGTACAAAGATGAGCCATCCAACTTGCACATACCTCTTGCATCTTCTGGCCTCCAAAAATAGCGAAATGCAACGTTGTATTAGCATCGAAGACGGTCTAAAAAGCAGGATTGATACTGGAAGGTAAAATGTCCGAGCAATAAATTATAGATAAAAGGTACCGGATTCTATAGAGGCGCGTGGCTTGGTTGCCTCCAGTGGCGGTGGGTTATTGCTGTTGATCAGATGTAGGCTTAATTAAATTCCCAATATGGTGTGATTTTCTAAGCAGATTAAATCATTATTTGTAATATATCTCCAGGCTTGTGAAAAGCAAAATATTTCTTTCAAATTTCAATATTCAGGGAGAAGCAGGTTGTTTGATTAATTCTGCTATGGTAGGTTGGATGTTTGGTAAGTGCTGGGCTACCGAACATAGTTACGTTTGGAAACGGAACATTCTCATCTAAAATATCAATATGAAAAACGTTTAGTTTACGAAATTAGCGCTGGCTATGTATCCTTTTTGCAACTAATTTCATTAGCTCTGAAAAGTATTTCACCAGTATGTAGTTTAACCACTTTTTGTGTCTATACAAAACTGCATTCTGGTCTACATGCTTCTTACTTTGTGAACATACTGGTAGGTTCAGCCCCTTTAGGGAGAAACCAAATATATAGAATTTTTGCTTTTCCAGAAATCCTCCCATTGCTAATACAAACAATTATGATCAGTTATGATTTGTTAGTTTTATTCATCTGTGACTTCCTTGTTTAGTCCGATGACGGAAATTTGTAGGAGCCACTGTTGTGGTCGTTTTCGCGATATTAATTGTTTCCTGTAGATTGAGATATTGCTCAACCAGTGGTATTATCCAGGAAAAGATCTGGGGGGAGGCTCAAGATCCAGGTTGACATGAAAATTCCGTCTCGGGACGGGGAGGGGTGTCTTGGAGATATAAAACTGCATAGCAAAGGGGCGGGACTCGCTTAGTCTAGGTAGGTAGACTTCACAGAAGGTATAACATGTATAATATGTAGAACAAGCGTAATGAGCTGTTGCGCTTTTGAGAGGGTAGACTCCGAGGAGCCCCAAAGCTCTCCCATGAATACGCCGCTGTGCCCATACCAGAATAGGAACAGAGGCGTGGGGTCTGTGGGCCTAGCTCAAAGAGTTCCGCGCTTCTTTCTAATATCATTGGGATTACACCCAGCCAGCGGCGGCGACGAAGTAAATAAGAAATGAATAAGTCCTTCTTGATTCAATTTACAAATTAATGCATTAATCAAAGAAACTATCATGTTTTTAGTCATAAAATATTACCAGACATTTGAGAAACAAAATAGTATTTTAAATTTCAATAGGTATTAAGAGTAATCCATGTAATTTTTTCTTATGAATGTGGAAGTGGAACAACCAACGGGTACGCTTATGCAGTCGGCGGCGCGGCACCTCTAAGACAAAAGCTGTATTTTGTGTTTTTGGCTCACAAAGAGATTGACAGTAGCTAGACAAACATTTTTCTATTTGACTCTTAGGTTTAGTGGATTTAGCATTTAGAAGGCTGGCTATTATTACCTCCATACGCATCCTAAGAAAAAAATTCGGCCTGATTTTTTGTTCATTTTCCTGTTGTGCTTTTTGTCACTGCAAGCAAACTGTAGCTAAACTGTTTTCACAAAGCTTTTTGAAAAACATAGTCAGATTTCGCTTTGAAATGATATTCCCAACTAGGGGGAATAGGACGGAGGTTTTTTTCAGTATAGTACAGAAACATTTTCACTGTATACAGGAAATCTATTTTGAATAACAATATGCCATTTTTTCACACTGCTACGTGGCCCGTATTACATTTTTATAAGAATGTGTTTGTTTATTTGTTACTTTTGTCTATTATTATTTGAGAATTCTAAATTGATTTATTACTTGTTTGTATTTTAAGGGATATTATTTTTGTTTTAGTTGCATGGAATTGCCTCTTTGTTTTAACTATTTTATACTATACACTATGCATCGGCGGGCCTTCGGCTATCTAGTTCTTTTCTGCCGCTACACCAACGGGCTTTGCTCCTCGGAGCTCTCTTCCATGATGCCGCCGCGCGATGTGCCTGCCAGATAGACCCGCCTAACTTTAACGTCCAATCCTAACCGTGTCGAGCTTCTTTCATCCAGAACTGGGCGATACGACCGCCCCCTTGTCTCTAGACTTTTGAGACTGTGGAACAATCTACAAGAGCAAGCTTTTCCCAGTTCTACTAACCTCAGTCAGTTCAAAAATCGTATTAACAAAATTTCTTTGGGATCATCATAGCAGCCGCGGTGTTTCGGCATTTAGGCTTCTGCCTGCGCGACTGCTTCGATATATAATATAGGTATATATATATATATGTACCTGTATATATGTACGTTATATATATACTCCATAATAATTTCAATTTTTGGCTTGTCTATTGAATACCAAATATATTTGACCTACCATAGAAAAGTTCATCTCTCAATCTCTGTTTGGGAATCTGACTGACCAGTTATTAAACCGACCGTCGGCAATGAGTAATCAGGGGAGCAGAAACACGTCGTCCTGCGACCTGTCTTTAGGTAGTGCCTCCCTCTTTTATCGAGTATAATTTATTGCCGGATTATTTCTTTGATGTCCTTTACTGCTGTCTGATGGGTCACTCTAAGCAAAAGCTAAACATACACGGTAATGTTTACCGAAAGGACATGCGATAAACAGGTTACAATAACAATAAGAGTTTTGAGCGTAGCAACTAGAATTCTTAGAGAAATTTCACATGGAGCACCCGTCAAAACACTTTAAGGAGTGTGTATATTTCGTATTTTTAAGTGTTGTGTTCTGAAGATTTAAAAATAGGAAAATTGATATATCATTATCTTCCGTTGGTAATAATGGAATCATCAACTTGAGCATTCGTTAGACCAATTGCGTATGAGTGAAAGACGAAAGGTAAGAAATCAAAAGCCCTGCATGGAATCTTAAACGCTGGGAGATTTTAGATACGAATTCGCGTCTTGTATCGGCGGAGTGTGGGTAGAGACAGTTGATTATGATTTGTTCACCAAAATATTCATACAGATCATATTGTGGCGGAATCATGAATCTGAATATAATAGTTAGTTAACCAGTCTGCTGAGTATATTATTAGCGTGTATGTCCAGCTTTACATCCACCCTTCAACTGGATAGATACCCCCACACACATGTCGGTATACAATAGGTATTTTTTGTTTTTGATTTACTGCCTGGAGGCGACTAAGATATCCAAATAAAGGGAAGAAAGGTTACAGGCGGATGGTTCACCTGAATGGGTTCCTTACTTTTAATTTTATCGATTTCAACAGAGTAATGCCTAGTTTGGCATGTCATAGAGTAATTGAGTTTATACAGGGTAATACATATTATTATTTTTTCTGTCTAGACGATATATGATAAATAGCACTTTCTCGAAAATACGCTTGTAAAATAGAGTGCTTTAGCGTTCCACCCATTGGCGATAACCCACCTGTCGTTCTGGTTTCCTTGACATTGTGCAATATGAGTAACTACTATACTGATTCTAACAGAGGTTGGAAGGGATTATTGTTCGGTCACAAGTTTGAAAATGAGTGTAAGAGCTCTAAACTTAGTAACCGGAAAAGAAAGCAGATTTTCCAAACTGTGTGCAATCACAATCACTTTGTTTTTTGTATGTTCGTATTTATTTTTCAGGGAACATGAGTTATGTAGACTGAAGAGTATAAAATTAAATAAAGAAATGGAACATCACATCTATTTTCTCACAATATGAACGATCTGCTTTGGAATTGTTTGGCAATAATCATTGACGTAGAATGCAAAACTAAATAACAAATTTGTATCGTATTTTCTTCTTTTTGGTACTACCCAGTCATGAATCACAAACATTTAGTTGTTCAATAAACAGTTCCAGCACGATGTAACTTTAAACTAACAACTTTTTAGGAGAGCATAAAAGAACGGTGGGCCTTTGGAGTCGCTATCGAATGATCTTATAATCCTCCATGTTTGTCTAGTCGCAAATGAAACCTCATAAGCTAATAGTGCCTACTGATGACATTCCGGCATTCACGGTGGCTTTTTTAAGCAAATACATAAGTTATTCTTTGCGTTTAGTGGTATTACAACTTAAGCGACGATGTCTCAAATTCCAAATATGTTAGAATAACAATAGTCGCCTTTACGTCATTAGCGAAGCATCGAAATATTAGCACCCCACTTCCTGCTAGTTTCGCAACACGTAAAACGATCCGGTGTTTTGCGGTCAACTACCTTCAGGTGACCTGCATTCCTGGATGTTTACCTTCCTCGTGACTAGCTGCTATATCACAGACATCACAGTTTATCTGCATGTAGGATTTGGTATACCACAATGTAATTTCAGACACCTCGCCAAAAACTGTTTCAACGACGGAGTGACGCTACTCTTCTACAGTC